TCAAGACATGAAAGAGGACCTCCAGAACTCACTCAGAAAGCTTCAAGAGCTGTGCAGCTCAAAACACGGACAAGCAGGTATCACAGTTATGTGATGCCCTTAACTCTTTCAGGAAGACACCTAGAAGTAGAAGAGCTGGGTTGAATGAAACTTCAATGCTCAGTTTTTTGAAGAATCTCCATACTAAGTTCAACAGTGGCTGTATTAGTTTACGTTCTCACAAACAGCGTAGAAGTGCTCCTTTTCCGTGCTTGAAAGCAGCCTACATACCCATCAACAGATGAGTGTGGTAAAGAAAATGTGATATGTACAACTGCCATAAAGAGGATAAAGTGGAGTCACTGCAAGGGAATGGATGCACCTCGAGATCATAATGTTAAGTGAAAGAAATCAGACACACAAGCTTTCATATCATGTGATTTACTGTGATGTTATATGGGAAACCCCCCAAAATAAATTATAGAGCAAAGTGAAAGATAATAGGAGACAGGAAGATAGATCTTTCCCCAAAGTGGAGGGGCTGAAGAGATGAAGTGAGGGGAAAGAGATGAACAGAAAGAAATGAGACATGTTAAGCACATGCACCAATTCACCACAATGAATGTAATCACTGTGTAATGCAATCATATACTAATAAACTAAAATAAAAACAAAGTGGCAAGAACATTAGGATATGTGTGTTTGGAGTAAGGATGGGTATTTTGAGTGTTATTTATGGCACTGTGTCATGTACTCTAATAAATATTTTGACTTCAAAATTTTACCATGTATTCTGATTACCCCTTGTAAACCAGTAGGCATTCCAGAGTGGCTGGGCACATTTTTAGGGGCATTTTGCCAAAATATCAATTTTATTATATTTCTCACTGTCACCATGTACATCTGTATAGTGAAATGTTTCATAGAGCTAAATAATCCAAATATAATCATAGTATTTATTTTATTATTACGCATAAGGAATACTTCATCATGCTCTTACTTAATATTCATTAAGGTTTTCAATTATTTTTAGATTGATATAGTCTATAGTGGTTATTTTTAAAACATGTAAATAGAATGAGGACATTTTTGTTACTTATTTATTCATTCCCTCTTAACTATCAAATATGCCAGTACATAGTACATAAGTCAATTATATAAAATAATAAGTATTGCACAATATTATGAAATAGTCACTTTCTCATTAATGTAGGGACAATGAAGTTCAGTAAGAGACAGTGATTTCCTAACAAGAATCCAGTCCAGAAGAGATGGAAATGAAAGTAGAATTTTGTAATCTGTTTATACAGTGCAGTGTGCAGTGATAGAGCAATGGAGAAAGGTTTTTGAGTTTACAGAGCAAGGTTTATTACTCACACACATTATCTATATCGTATATTTTATATGAGGACCAAGACTATTTCTCTTGACTCAGTTCTGGCCCAGGCAAATGAAAAGAATGGACTTAAATGCACAATCTAAGACAGTCAATACTTGGCAAAATGAAGAAAGGTGAATCTAGGCTGACTTGCTGAGTACCTGGCTTGTATGACAGTTTATAAAGAACGTTTTTCTAGAAAAAAAAATAATAGAAAATAGCTGCAAAGACCGTGGTGACACTAGTTTCGGAAGTGTGAGTTTGAGAACCTTGAAGGGTACCGAGAAGGAGAAGTGTCCGAGCAACTGCGATGTGAAATGCATAAGTGTCCAAGGGAAGAATGAATGTGTCTACTCAGACTTTCTTAGTTACCTTGGGTAGCTTGAGGAATAATTTTATATTTCACAGTATGGGCCACACAAATGAACTGGACAAGAATTCAAAATTTCTAATGAGTAATGAGACCTAACATAAACACACACATTCTTTTCAATTGAGCTTCCTGTGGCATTCACAGGGGAGATTTTCCAAGACTCAGTATGGATACAAAATCCTGGGATGTTCCACTTCCTCATAGAAATGGTATAGTGCCTGCACACAGTGTATACATGTCATCTCAAATATTTAAATCATCATTTACAATATTATTGATAATTATTTATAGTATCTAATGCAATAAACATGAAGCTCATGTAAATTGTTCTTACCCTATATTTTGTGTTACAGTGTCACATTACATTTTTATTGTTTTTTCTTTTTCTCTGATAGTTTCAATCTACAGCTGGTTCACCCCAATGACTTGGAACCTGTTTACATGTATAAATATCGTATTGTCTCCTTAGTATAGGAAACTGAAAGAGTAAACAAGATAGCTAAGATCATTATACTACTAATTTCTATTAGTTTAGTGAAAGGAACAATTAGTGTTTTATATTGTTTGATCAATCTTACATGACTATAACTGGTAATCTGAACAACTACTTTGAAAATAACAATTTGCAATATAATAACAATTGTTAAGTTCCTATCATATTGTTTGGAAACTCTGTGTTGTTTTTATTGTTTTTTATTATTTTTAAAATAAAAAAGAATGACTGCCCTGTTTTCTTCCTACACATATATATCAAAGATAAAATTTATTGTGTGAATGAGGGACAGTTTAACAACACTAAGTAAGAAAATTTAACAAAATTTATTGTGTGAATGAGGGACAGATTAACAACACTAAGTAATACTAGAAATATGTTTCTCACTCTTTCTCTGGTAAAACATCTCATTCTATCATATATCTTTGATGACCCCTTGTAAATGAAACCACTGACAGGGAAATGACAGACAAAAGGAGAGAATACTGCACAAATTCTATCATTACGGCCATCACAATTCCTCTGTCCAGTGAAAACATTCTAAGTATCTACTTCCAAGACATGGGACTTGCAGATTTTAATTTTGCTGTGTGGCTATGTCATCGAGAAATTCTGCTGTGACAATCTAAGCATTCCCTGATTAGACAACTTTCTTTTGAAAATTAAATAATAACCAGTTACAACAATCACTATATTTTGGAAAATCAATGTGATGGTGTTGTGATATATGATCAAGATATTGACAATGAGTTTGCTCTAAAAGAAAGTGTGGGAAGTACAAAACAAGACAGTATAAGATGCTAAAGCACATAAAATAGATTAAAACATATTTCATAGCATATTTACATAATGTTATACCCATTCAATAGAAAGTGATCAAACATTTTATGCTTTATAGGTAAAGATTTATTGTATAGACTATAATTTCTAAGCACTTAACTATTATGATTTGATAGGTGTAGCATTTTTCACGAACTAACTTGTTTATTAGGTATTATAAAGTGTTATTTGTTAAAGGCTAAAGTTTATTCTTTTATCGTTCTGGGAATAACAATAGCTCTGGGCTACGTTTTAGTTAATTTTCTGTGTGGGATTCTGAATTACTTTTAAAATAAAACTTAGGATTTTCACATGGTTGCACTCTTTGCTGGAAGTTTCTTGAATCTGATTTTTGACAAATTCCCATCTACTCAAATATAATAAAGTACATTTGTGTTGTCATTTTGGCAGTTCTGTAATATTGGCAGATAAAGAGCGGAGCTCCATATGTACCTGTGAAATTATTATTCTAAAATAAAATACTCAAATGTTCATGGTCTTAGAGAAAGATGGCATGCAAGAAATTCTACCCGTTGGCATAAAAGGGAGAGGAAGCCTCCTTCCAAGTGCGTAAGGACGGCGTGTTTGAACTCTCACTCGCAGACCTCGATGTTGTCCCACCTCAGGCCCCTGATCCCTGGTTTCCTTGTATGTAAAATTGTTCAGCTGTGGAGAGTTGCAAAGAAGGCAGATTCTGCTCACCCTGTAGCCAATCCTTCTTCAAGTGTGTGTGTGACTATTGAATAGCTGTGTGATGGTGCTTCTACTAGTTCTTCTCCTACCTTCCGCATGAACACTTCAAAGCATATTTTATCATTACCTAATTTATAAAAATGATGTCAACTTGTTACACAGGAAGCCAGATTTTCAGTCATATTTTGGGAATCAAAAGAATGAAATTATACCATAATGGCATGAAAATTATTTTAAAGACATTTGAAACTCCACAGATGCAAAAATAAGCATTTTCAGAAGCTTTCTGTTATGGTTGATACACTGTGTCAACTTGGGGAGTCTAGAGGTTTGGCTAAGGGACTCAGCAGGAAGCCAGGGTGCTTACTTTGTATACATCCTGAGCCTGTGGAAGAGGAAAGCATGGAGATTACATGAGAGCTACACGCCCCTTAGGTGGGGGTAGCCTGTTTACAATGTAAGGGAGAGAAAAAGGCTGCTTGCCCCGATTCCTCCCTTTTGCTCTGGCTGCTTTGCTGTTTGGCTGCCATTCCCCTCTTTACTCTTGTTTCTTTGCTACCTTCTGCCTGGGAGCCAGCCAAGTATGGACTGAAACCTCCACAAACTGTAAGCTAACTAAACCTTTCCTTCCTTCATTTTGGGTACTGGGTATTTTGTCTCAGCAATGAGAGAAAAGTAACCAAGACACTTTCTTACCTGAACAAAGACAGGAATTTCCAACAGCAGGTGTTAAAAATCCTCTGTCCAGGTTGGCAGTGGCTTCACCCCAGAGAGGAGGGGAAAGGAACACTGGTAAAAATCGCCTCTGGGGGAGATTTCCTGATGGAAGAGGACAGAGAGGCCCACTTGCCCTAGCGTGGGACAAACACCATCACCTTCTCTGGTCTCCCCTATGTCCATTAAAAGCCCAGTTTTTCTTTCTAGGAAAGCTTTTCCTCATACATTTCCTTTCCCTATGAAATTGGGCATCTAAACCTCTACTTCCCGAGCCACCTGATTCTTATGTGCATATGAATACACAGTGATCTGTCATTTACCAGTATAGTTCACAGTTACCCACCCAGTGAACCCAAAAAGACAGAAGAACACATTTCCATGGAAATGTGTGTGTGTATGCACATGTATGTTACAAAAGACAGTGATCCAGGCATCTTTGAACATTAGCTGCCTTCAAACTCTTTTGTCTCTCACATAGCCTTACCCATTTAGCACTGTACCTACCTCCACCATCAATAAATATCCTTTAAATGTTTCTGCCTGAAAGTTTATATTCCTTGAACAAATATTTTCCTCCTAACTATTCGCTTCATGGCTTCTTGGGCCTTTCTGTTTCTTACACTGTATATCAGAAAGTTTAGTACTGGGAGCAGAAGAGTATAAAACACAGAAAGTATCTTGGCTGTGTCCTGTGGGTAGCTAGAGCTGGTTCCCAGGTAGGTAAATATCATTGTCCCGTAGAAAAGCGATGCCACCGTGAGGTGGGAGGCACACGTGGAGAAAGCTTTATATCTGCCACTGGTAGACCGCATTTTCAGGACAGTGAGAAGAATTCCCAAGTAGGAGCTAAGCACTGTCAAAAATGTAGTCACTGCAGTTGCTCCAGAGAGGACAATGAATAAAGCCTCACTGTGCTGGGTGTTGGAACAGGAGAGTTGAAAGAGCAAGGGGATATCGCAGAAATAATGATTGACGACATTGGGCCCGCAGAAGGACAGGCTGAGCAAGCTGCTCAGATGGGTGAGCGAGTTGGCACAGCCCAGCAGGTAAGAGGCAGTCACTAGGGAAACGCAGAAGGCGGGGGTCATGAGACCGTGGTAGTGAAGTGGGCGGCAGATGGCCACGTATCGATCGTAGGCCATTGCAGCCAGGAGGAAGCATTCCGTGGTCAGGAACAGGCTGACAAAGGCGTACTGCAGGAGACATCCCTGGTAGGAGATGACTCTCTGTCCTGACATGTAATCTGCCAGCATTTTAGGGATGAAGATGGAGGAATAGCAGAAATCCAAGAAGGCCAGCTGGCACAGGAAGAAGTACTTGGGAGAATGGAGCTGGGTGCTGACCAGAATTACTGCAATAATCCAGATGTTGCCCACCACAGTAATAATATAGATCAAGAGAAACAACACAAAGAGCACAATATTCAGTTCCGGGTCATCAGTCAGACCCAGGAGGACGAATTCAGTAATCACACTCACATTCCTGTCTGCCATTTAAGTGGCTTGCCTGTGAGGGACCTGCAGGGAGCAAGAGGACAAAGTAGCCAGAGTCCACACATTCACACGTGGATTTCACGATAAAGCGTTAGATTCATCTGCACACCTTCAGCAGCTGTGAGAATTATACATGAAAGAAAATAGATGGAAACTTGCACACAGCATACAAGACTCGCCCAATGCCACTGCTCATTGGGCATGACAGAACTCAGAGAATGAAGAAACACACTGTCTCTTCACATACCTGAGAAATTACTGGGAATAAGCTGACTTTTTGTTTTTTTTTTTTTTTTTTTTGGTTTTTCTCCGGTACCGGGAATTGAACTCACGACCTTGCGCTTGCCAGGCAGGCGCTGTGCCGTTGAGCTAAATCCCCAGCCCCCTAAGCTGACTTTTTGATGTTAGCTGTTGTGTGTTATTTTTAGTAGTGTTCAGCTCACTTTGCCTTGGTTGACATTATTTTTAAAGAAATTAAACTTGTTCATTACATATGAGTTTTTTAATTTCAATAATTCAAGATTGCTTATTTATCTAATAATAGTAATATTATCTAGACTACCTTTCATGTTGCACTTTATTTCATTTTCTGTAGAATCAGTAGTGTTACAATAAACTAATATTTGAGCCTGAAAATTAGCTCTGGTAATAGACACAATGAAATCTTTGCTCTTTACCTCAGATTTAGCCAAATTAAATAGCCCATACTAACTAACATCAGAATATATGATAGTTCTTTCATACACTGTTTTTGTAACTTACAAAAATTAAAGATATAAACCCTTAAATGTAGCTAACTGTTGAAATGCAGAAGAAATTCCCATGAACTTGTAAGAAAGCTAGTTAACTTTGGCAAGGGCCTGACTCTATGCAGCTTATTCTAGTTACTGGGATGAATTTGAAGCGGATGATTTTTCTTCACATTATATTCACAGCATACACTGAGAGTTCCACATTTTGAAAATCACAGAAGGCTTTTGTAAATTCATTGTTACAACAGAGAAACAGAAACCTTACCCAGTATGGAGAGGAAGTTTTGGCCCTTTGCTCTTAATTTCCTGTCTGTCGGGTTTATATCTGGCTTTCACCCTCTGGAGGTGGAATCCCCGGTGTTTTGTGAATGCGGGTTTCACTGAAACAATCAGACATTGGACTGAGGAAAGGATGGCCCTGAACACTTTCTGAAGTGCAGCGGATGACATATTTAGGCTGTTCACAACCTTAGAGAAAGATTACCTCGTCTGACTTTCCTCTCAAGGACAATCTGAACTGTTAAATATTAATATTGTTCACAAATACAATTATAATTTGTATAACAATTATATATAAATAGAGTATTATATACATTTTAAAAGCCCTAAGTTCTGTTTGTTAATGGCCACCCAGTATTTTTTTTTTTTTTTTGGTTTCTTTTCTGGTTCCAGGAATCGAAGTCACAACCTCGCTCTTGCCAGGCAGGCGCTATGCCGCTGAGCTAAATCCCCAGCCCCGGCCACCCAGTTCTACAAATCCATTATTATTGGTAGTCATTACAGAAAGTATACACATAGTTTAATGCCAGGCAACCCAAAGGGAGTGGTAAAGATTTCTAAATAGAATTTCATGTGCACATGTCTGTACACCTATCCAAGTCCATTTTCATATAGCAGACTGCATTTTATCGTTAAGGGTCATTTATCTAGTTAAGCTATAGAGATAAACGTCAAGTTCAGCATTTTTGTTACTATATTGGCTAAACAATTTTTGGAATATTCAGTAGGTAGATAAGCGCAGTGCATGATAAAAATATGAAAGATGAGGAATGGAGGGAGAAGGGCTGGGTAAATGCTGTAAAAGTGGGTTATTACAAAGAATAAAGCCATAAATACAGGTCGCATGCAACCAAACAAGTATAAACAACTGCACAGGAATATGTGAGAGAAATCTGAAGTAATTTTTAAATGAAGCTGGAATGAGAACCTACCAAAACATAATGAGCTTTAAGATGAGTTCGCTTACATCTTTGAGTTTTTTTTTTTTTAAACAAACATCAAGAAGGATTTTAGTTTAAATGATTTATATGTTTAGAGCCTACTATGTTCCAGGCTCTGGGTAGCTCATATCTCTAATCATATGTAATTCATGAAACAGTCACTCACAGGGTTTATATTACATGTGGCCAGAAGTACGTAATACACCCAGAAGGCGATTCTAGTGAAAACTGAGCACATGGTAATTCTTAGAAAGGAGAATAAAAATAGAGGACCAAGGGATTGAGGGAGGGAGGGAGGGAGGAGCAGAGGGGAAGGGAAAGGAAGAACTGAGCTGTGTTCTGTACAGGTACGGACTCCACAAGAGGAGTGGAATCATTCTAAACTGCAAACGCGTGAATAAAAAAAAACCCTTAAAAATAAAAGAAAAGATATGAGCTCTCCACTTTCAAAAGACAAGTCCAAGATTGGCATAAACTCTAAGGAAGGAGTTATATCTTCCTTCAGTTGAAAAATGTGTGTTTTTTTAGTCAGGGCATTTCTACAGGATGTTTTGAGTATCATCACAGCTTGGATACAATGCTGAAAGAACCTTTACATAGCTATAAATGTTGAATTTGAATTTGCATACAGGCCACGGTAGACCAAAGACAACTGAAAGTTAGCATCATAGCGAGGATCAACGAACTCAGTACTTGTTCACGAATTAAAACCAAACCTCAGATCTTGGAAATGCAGGTCCATTACGTTGGCTTCTGGATTTTTATATAAATAATAAAAATGATGAAGGTGAAAATATAGCCATAACCAGTCCAGGTGGTGTTGGGAACATATTTCTCTGATGAGTTGGGACAATTCCCAAAGCAGAAACTCCAAGTTACACACGTAGAACAAAAACTTAGCATGTATTTCACATATAAAGCCCGCAGACCCAGGGCGAAGTCACACAAGAGAAATATCAGTCCTGTCCCGATTTCTCCAGTTGTGGTCTGTGAAACTGACCAGTTTTAGATGTGGAGTGAAGGTGTTGGGGCTACAAGTGTTTGTAAGTCTATTTCCTGGTATTCTACTTCTCAATGGGCAGAGTAACCTCAGGTATTTCATTAACAGATTTCTCACTTATTTCCCATTGATTAATTACATCAACTATTTAAGAACATTAGGAATACACTGAGCTAAGCTGAATTTACTTTAAGAGTAAAGCTATATTATTTACATAATTACATAATATCGTATTATATGTCATCTATATCTAATAAATATAGTGTATTTAAAAAGTATAGCTTTTACTCTTTTTCTTATAGACATAAAATCTGACAGCAACCTCCCTACTTTCCACTAGAATTCGAGAAGTATAATTTATTTTTCTTCTGAAAGTGCCTAGTTTTGTTCATTTGTTTTCATAATACAAAGGATATTTGTGGGCACGAGTTGAAGTTGATCCAAGATCAGAAAGTAAAAATTCCCTTTCGTGAAGTATCGCCTCCTCTCCCACATAGATACTTCTGGAATTATGCTACCTTTTCTCCCCTGGGAAACCGGTCCCTCAGTTTATAGGTTGTGTTATTAGATACAAATGACATTAATAAGATACACTTATCTGAGTATCTCATACAAATAATAAATATACTGTAAATGTCCTTTAGGAGCCTACCTTCAAAAATACAGTCAACGGTATCAAAAAATTGTAAAGGGCTGCAGTATTGTTTTGTACTGTTGCTGATGGTATTTCATTTTGAAATTCAATTTTCATTGCATTTTTTGAACTATTATCTAATACAATATGCATTTCAATAAGGTAATTTAATGTTTGCTTATATAGATATTGGTACCATTTCCTTATATAACTGTGGCTATTACCACAAAAGAAAGTAATAAAAGCATAATTTAGCCTCCTGTGTAAGATTTTCAGTTACTATTACTCAGTCTTCAGCTGTGTCATTGTGCTGGTTAATACAGTTCCCTGTAGTTATTTCAATATTTAAATCAGACTTCAAATATTTACTGTCATCTTATTTGTAAATGTTGGTGCTATCTAGAATATTGTTTTATTTTCATATAGGCTAATTTGCAGCACTTTGAGAAGATATCAGAATGAACCAGTCCGGTTTGTCAGGTTGAGTTTATGAAGGTGCACTTTCATATTTCATTTAAATGGAAGAAGTACCACTGGAGTCATAGCGCTTCCTTAAAGTACAAAGCACAGGTGACTTGAAACACTACCCCTTAAAAATTTTCTTTAAACTATAAAAAGAACGGTGGAAAATCCAGAATTTTTTTTCTTAAAGTTCAAAGATAATGATGGAAGACCCTTATGAAAAGGAAGGAACAAATCTGATTGCTAAATGCTCCCTAACTGTCTTGGATTCATATTTTCTAAGCAGAAAGGTAAAATTCTTCAGAGTAAGCTTTCCCAAGGTTTCTGTCCCAAGGTTTCCCGAAGTTTCCTCCCATGTGGAGCTGTAATAAAACTGTGGCAGTCTGTTCTATTTTTTTTGTTTGTTTGTTTGTTTTTTCTGGTACTGGGAATCGAACTCACGACCTTGCACTTGCCAGGCAGGCACTGTGCCACTGGGCTAAATCTCCAGTCCCCTCTGTTCTATTTTATTTCACATGTAGCAGTGGACACAGAGACCAGTAGTGGAAGACTGTTAGACAAACACTATGAAAAGGAGAGTGACCTACGACCAAGTTCTTCTGAGTATTTTACATATGCACATTTATTGTAAAGCATGCTAAGCTGTAAATAATAAGTTATTTTTGGAACAAGCATTTGTCCATTTTCTGTGTAAAACAAGTATCAATTATTTTTGTCCTGAAAAGATTTCACTTACTTCTGTGATCAGTGGGGAGTCCACACTAGGAGACAATTTATTATTTGTGAATTTCATGGTTCTCTTCCTATGTTTGTGTGTTTGAATTTCTATATTTCTATATGTATTTGTGTATAATAAATGCATATATATTCATATTCAGTTCTCATACAAAGGAAATAAAATATCATGAATTTTGTTACATAATTACTACAGATTTTAATCTAATTTTCAAGGTATTTAACAAAATAACCAGCCATGTGTCCTGTGTTATATTAGTCTTTTTTTTTCTCTTTTGTATCAGGAATCGAACTCAGGACCTTGTGCTTGCCAGGCAGGCACTTGTGCCACTGAGCTATATTCCCAGCCCTCTGTTATGTGAATCGTTTAGTTCTCTTTGTACAGTGTTATGAACATCAGTAAAATAAATTCTAAATTCCAGGGGGACTGAAGTGTCATTAACACTTTCCAAACCTTATTATACAAAGCATTGCTTCATATCCTAGCATTGCACAGGTGTGCTAACAGGTCAACAAGGGAAACATTTCATTTCTATAGCCCGTTTGACGGCATCTTTCACCTCCTTGTTCCTTAAACTGTAAATCAGCGGGTTTAACATAGGAATCACCAGGGTGTAGAGGACAGATACCACCTTTTCCTGTTCCAAGGAATACTGGGAGCTGGGTTGAATGTAACTGAAGCTTATAGAGCCATAGAACAAAGTCACAACTGTAAGATGCGAGGCGCATGTGGAGAAGGCTTTCTGTCTACCTGCTGCAGAGCGGATCCTCAGGATAGCAGCAACAATGAAAACATAGGAGATGACCACTGTCAGGAATGTGATCATAGCAATAATGGTGGTGAAGACTAGAAGCAGGAGCTCATTCATGGATGTGTCAGAACACGACAGCTCTAACAGGGGAGGCAGGTCACAGAAGAAGTGACTGATGACATTGGGCCCACAGAAGGACAGTCTCAATAAGCCAATTGTGTGCGTCAGTGAGTTGATTAAGCCGCCAGCACATGATCCCAACACAAGTACAACACAAACTATTTTGGTCATAGCCACTGTGTACAGTAAAGGGTTCACAATGGCCATATAGCGGTCATAAGCCATGGCTGCAAGCAGAAAGCCCTCGGTGGTAATGAGTGACACGAATAAAAAGTATTGCACAATGCATGCGGAGAATGAGATCGTCTCGCGTTCCACAAAGAAATTCAACAGCATTCTGGGTGCAAAAACTGATGAATAGCAGGCATCCACAAATGACAGGCAGCTGAGAAAGCGATACATGGGCGTGTGAAGCTTGGGAGTTATGTGGATTAGGAAAAGCATCCCCAGGTTGCCCACCAAGGAGACGGCGTAGATCAGCAGGAACAGCACGAAGAGCACCACCTTCAGTTCTACTCGGTCTGTCAGGCCCAAGAGGATGAACTCGGTAACTAATGTCAAATTGACATCCGCCATGTATTTGCACCTCTTGGTAACTGTTAACGACGAGAGAACGAAATACAGTGAGAGCAATGATGAAACTTAATAACTTTGGAACCTCTAAGTAACTATGGAACTTTGGGCAGTGACGTCTCCTCTCTTGTTCTCCTGTCTACAAGATTAGAAAGTTTCAATTACAAAGTCTATAATCTCTTGCATTACTGTCTATTTGCTTCATAAGCAACTCCCGTGAAAGAAGATAATGTTGGCATGTTAAATGCAGGGAGCCTTTAAAATGCTGCTCTCAGTGTGTATAAGAAGACAGAGTGAAATTCATAGTAAACATACAAAAGGAAACTCTTGGAAGGAGGGAGGGAGGGAGGGAGGGAGGGAAGGAGGGAGGGCAACAAAGGCAAATTCAAAGAAAGAAAACAAACTGAACTGTGGGATTTAATTTGAGATAGTTGACTTATGCCTTAATTATTGGTTCCTACTCCGTATTACTTTCTTTTCCCTTTCTTTCATGATAGAACCTAAGGCTCACATATGTTGGGGCAGTGTACTATCACTCAGCTACTTCCCCAACCCTCCGTGTAATTTTTAAAAATCAGATGTGACAAGCTACAGGGATGCTTCCAAAACCCCTGAAGCCATGGAAGAGAATAGCCCATCCAAGACAAGAGGAATGGTGTGAGAGGTACTCAGAACTAGAATATGAAACTTGGTGAAAAGAAACTCACAACTGGCCATTGATATCCAAGAGAAATACTCCACTGAGAGCCGAGAACCGTGATTCCTTTTATTTTTTCTGAGAAAAAGCAAAGTGAACCCATAAAATAATTCTTAAATGCAGTAATAATAATTGAAATTCTTCATTTTCTTTCAGGTTGGAACAGGATGCTTGGAATAGTCAATGGTTTTCCACATAATCATTGCGTCTGGATCTGTTCATTACTACTACGTTTTGCCCAAAAACTATCTTTTACATTTACAGAACAAATACAAATAATCATACGTATAAATCTGCAATGAATTTCAGGACAAAATTTGGACTTAGGAAAAAGACTATTTGCTGGTTGTATCCAGATTCTTATCCAGTGTAGTGTATGCCAGCTTTGGGAATCAAACAAACAGAAGTAGGATTTCTAAATCATACTTCACACTCTTGCTCAGCACAGAGAGATTCCTCCACCTCCTTACATAGGCCTTAAATTGCACTCTGATTTCTCACACATGCCTCTGCTTGAAACAATTTCCTGGGTAAAACTCAGAAAAATAATTACATTGCACAACTATTCAAACAATAACAAAGAGACAGCTACATTCTACCTCTATTATTTATAGTGTTAAGTGAATAAATCAGATTGTAATTATTCCCTTAGAAAATTTCAATGAGTTAAAACCCTGATGGTTTTGCAACAACGTTGACATTAATTTAGGAAGAGACCGCAGTGTGGGACAAGGGGTGGGGACACATGACTCATTTACAACTGTCCCTGCCTTGTATTCTGAAATTTTTATCAGATTAAAATAGGATCTTCTTTCCTTTAAATTTTGGAAAGACAATTTGACTGACTGTTAGAATGTATGCATATAAGATTTGAATTAGGTAATGTAACTTACCAATGTACAGAAAAGATTCAAAACCTCAGCTGATTTAGGAAGCTTGCGGCCACCCATTCCCATGGTATGTTGCTCTATAATTTCTTAAAATATGCCACCAAAGAAAAGGACTTCTAACCTCCTCATCTTTCCCTGAAAAATAAGACCTAGCTGGAAAATAATCAGCCTTGGAAAGTAAAGATCAAAAATGCCAGCCCACAGTAGCCTATCCTTGCCCTACCTGGCTTACAGAGCAGCCATGGAGCAAGAGGATACTGAGGCAGGTAAGGAATGGATAAGATAGGCTGATTGGGACTGGCGTCTTTGATCCCTAGTTTCCAAGGCTGATTATTTTCTAGCTAGGTCTTATTTTTCACAGAAACACTGCAAATATATCTTACTTTTAAAATGATACATAAACTAAGTAAGTGGTAGTAGTAACTGGTAACAGAATCGAAATGCAAACTTATCCAGGATAGTAGAATCAAAAAGAAGCAACTCCTTGGCAGAACAATAGAGCAAGAGGGTTAAAGTACCATCCTGTAAGAAGCACAGGTTACATAAAATGCAGTTATAGCTTCACCTTAGGGGAAATGGGGATATTTTCCTGGGAGTAACACTGCTGATTAAAAGAATACAGTATGTGCATTATTAAAAGTTTCTGTGTTTCCTGAGGGATTTAGAAAATATTCAAGCACTTGATGGCTTCCCTAAGGCATTTCATTCCCTGAATTTTATAATGAACAGGAGGAAAATGTGGAACAGGTGTGGGGGAAAAACAGAACAAATAATTTCATATTTAACAATGTCTACTCTGTACTTTAGTAAAGTAATTTAACATGCTTTTCAGAACACATTCATGGGCCTATGTTTCAGAAAAATAGTCAATCACTAGTAGCTTTTATGACAATAGAAGAACCGGTGTAAACCACTTTCACACCTGAACCTTTAGACAAGCATGACATCAAAGAAGGCTAAAACTAACCACTCCTACTACTTCTTTAAAACCTTTTTTGTTATTAAAAAGGGAAAAGGTTTGATTTAAGATAAAACAGATTCCAGCATCCATCTCCCAAATGTTTATTTCTCCAGTGTAGTTGTTGGCAGACAACCCTACGGCTTTTGTCTTCAGCTAAACTATACTGTGAAGGACTTTGGTAGCAATGTTTCACCGGGTTTCCTTCCCTAGGCTTTTGAATGCATTTATCCTCGTTTTTTATACAACAGCTAAATTCTTTTTTAAAGTACAAGTTGCTCAATCTCCATCAAATGCTAGCAAGCAGGTGACAGGCTTGGAGACTGAATGATATTCTAAGTCCATGGTAGAACAGAACGTATTACTTCTGAAGGCTTAGAGCTTTTTTTTTTTTTTTGGTTTTTGGTTTTTTTCTGGTACCAGGAATCGAACTCACGAAATCACGCTTGCCAGGCAAGCACTGTGCCGCTGAGCTAAATCCCCAGCCCCAGCTTAGAGCTTTTTTAAAACATCAGGCATTCTCTTGTTTTAAATGTAATTCCTTCCCAATCTATTTGTAAAAACAATGGAATTCTATTTATGAGACCAATATTATATCTTTTTTGAAATTATAAAAAAAGTTTTGGAAAATATTTTTAAAGTGACTGCGGCCAGGGATGGTGGCACACACCTATAATTCCAGCACTCAGACAGCTGAGGCAGAAGGATTGGCATGAGTTTGAGGCCAACCTGGGCCACATAATGAGTTCAAGGTCAGCCGGAACTATATAATGAGACCCTTCACAACAAAACAAAAAACAAAACAAAACAAAAATGACTACATTGGCTGGCCTTCATCTGACAAGAACAATAACAAAATAATTAGAGTTATGTAGTCCAAATTAGGGTCTCTATCTTCTGAATCTTATGTTGGCCTTTTGAAATTAAACACAATACTATTTTTAAAGCATATATTACTAGAAAAAAGTTCCCTGATGTTCACTGGACAATCAAATAGATTTTAAAACACCTAGAGACTTCATTTTAATAAAACTCGGCTTTAATTTTTAGAAGCATTGATATTACAGGTTATCTTAGGTTGCAGTTGCATTTAGTTATGGAAAGCTGTATTAACATTTTTATTATTTAGCTAATACTTGTGACAATTTTTTCATTAGTCTATGAAACCAATGTCAATATATTTATACACAATTGATATATCGATTATTTTTTAGTGATGAATATGGTAAAGTATTACGTTTTAGAAAATAATTATTTTAAAAATAAACTGTTGCAAAGTAGCTCCTAATAAAGATCGGCGATGATATGGGTTACTCTGCATTCTGGGTAGAATGGCTTTGAACATTGGTTCTGTTGATATCCATCGCTGCAGAACAGATAGGTATGTCCAGCTCCACATCAGCTGAGACAGGGCCATCCAGCTCGAATGCAGACGTGGCCCTGGACAGAAGGACCCTAGAAAGAAGACCCCTCCTCAACCTCAAGGCCAGATGCCTGAGCTGGACACTAGAGGGGTATTTCCAGGATTTGGACTTGGAGATGGTGGTTTCTAGATGTCTTTTGGAGCTGGAGCTTTTTTTCCCTTTGGTGTATTTTCCTCAGAATTTAGCATAAATGATGGGCAGCCTCCACCATCTCTCCTTTGGACACCCCAGTGTGCAGTGAACACTTCCTGTCATGCCTCTTCCTGTTTGTGGCCCTTGAGATCATATTCTGGCCCCTGATTGCCTAATGCCGGGCTTCTGTCTGCATCTACAGCTGGGTCTCTGGGTTGGTAATGTGCAACCCTCAAGCCTGGTATTTGGCTTCCTGACCAGCTGTGAACATGGCAGTCAGTGGGGTCAATCACACCTCAATCTTTATCTGAGCTCTGGAACTCATGACTGGCTGGTTGGCAGGGACACCTACCCGTGGCCACTACTGCAAACACCCACCTATAACCACAGGCTTTGGTACTGACATTCCTGTCACGGCGAGCAGCATGAAATCCTGCTCTAGTCAGTTCAGCAGGCCCTGACTGCACAGGGAGGAGGTGGGAAGAGAGAAACTGTCAGGGTACAGTTTCTCACAAAAACAAAGGATGGCCCAAAGGCTATATGTGGAAACTTCCTTTCTTCCCTTCCTCTTCTTTACTGTGACACTGTTCCACATATTGCTTTGCCTCCTATCACTACGGTCCTGGCATGCATTTAGTGTGGAGGCTTCTGTTGTAAAGAAACGAAGTACTGACCTGTCCTCTTTTCTCCTCTCCTCATCTTAGAAGAGACCCCAGATGTTACTACGCCAGGAGATCATAATTACAGCAGCTGAAGCCACTTTGTGAATTCACCAGAGACTCAAAGATCATTTGTTGGCTCTCAGCTGAGGTCAGAGCCCCAGAGAGCAGCTGGAAAATCCCTTGTATGTGTCCTCAAACTGGGGAAGTGTGTGACACCTGAGCAGGCAGCCCTGATATTTG